CAGTAACCCAGGTGGTTATATGTTTGAATCTAACCTTCAGTTGTACTTCGCCAATAGCATATTAGTCTTATTGGCTAATTGATAATAATAACTTTTTCTTATGATTGGTGCATGACGAAGTTTTGATAAGGTGGATTGAGTAATAACTGACTTGGTTGCTCCGGTATCCGCCAGTGTTTTGATCATTTTTCCATTCACTAGAACTGTAATAACGACTGTAATAGAACTGTGCAACGACTGTGGCGGTTTCTTTCTGTCGCCATCACGACAATTGCAAAGATTCTTCGGAGTTATTTAAAAAGTCTCTAGAAATTCCTTCTAGAATTTCCAGTTTTCATGTCAATTATTAATGGAAATTCGAAGAGGAATTCCTAGATTCTTGGGAATTATTTATAGAAATTCGATAGCGAATTTCCAAGAAACTGAAAATTCGAAGAGGAATTTCTATAAACTGGAAATTTCGATTTTCTATAAACTAGAAAATACTCGAGGAATTTACATATGGATTCTTTGAAATTCGCCGAGCATTTTCTGTAAATAATTTTCTCCTTTACAGTGTAGTAAAACCTCCAATATCAATCCAATCGGGTCTATAACACGCTGAGAGTAGAATAGTTTTTGACTGAGCAAATTGAATGGAACTAAAGGGTATTTCAAATTCTGGACTTCCTAACTCAATTAAGCGTTTGCATGACAAATTATCTCTTACATAAACTAAAATACTGCCAACCTTTTTCCCTACTCTGTCTCTTCGCAATGGCACTTGAAATCCACTCGAAAACAACTGTGAGTCGAAACCCTATCATCTAACCATGTCTCATTAATCACAACAACAGCAGGCTTCCTCCCTTTTTGGTCGAAGGAAAAGAATAGGTGCTCTACGCCGGTAAATAGCGGGGGTATGAGCTCTACTTTAATTTATAAAATTTATTTTCGTAAACGCATTTTGTGAAAGACTGTCATTCCTTTATCTTACACCTGATCAAGAAGAAAGACGGATCAACCAGGTTTGTGTCGCTTACAGGAAACTTACAACATCACCAAAAAAGATTCTTATCTATTACCACATATGAGGGAAACAATTAATCGCTTAGGTGGTCACCGATATTATTCCAAATTAGATCTTAAATTTGGTTATTTCCAAATGCCTACCCAAGATGATAAAGAAAAAACAGCATTCAGTGTTCAAGGTGATCATTGGGAAACCAATGCGTTACCACAAGGTCTGAAAAATGTGCCCCCCACTTTTCAACGAATTATGAATGAATTCTTAGTATATCAAAGGTGGGATCATTGTTTGGTATATCTTGATGATATTAGTATATTTTCCAAATCATTTAAACAACATGTACAACATTTGGATGAAATATTAACAGTGTTAAACAACCCCAGCTTCCAATTAAATCCATCAAAATCTTCAATAATTCACTTACAAATGGATTATTTAGGCCATATAGTCAACCGCCAAGGTATTACACCTTATGGATAAAGTTGAAGTTCTTGTTGATTTACCCACACCAAAATCAATTAAGGATGTTTATGCATTTTTGGGAGCAGCTAATTTTTATAGAAAATTCAGGCTTGTTGTTGTGGAGAACTTTGGAATATGAACAATTGAAAGAACTTTTATCACCAGCACCGTTATTATTGTCATTTCCAGACCCAGCATCGCCACTGGTTTTATCAACAGATCCGACATTCGTTATGGTGGCGTTTTAAAACAAATTACCAAGATGGCAACGGTAGAAATGTGTTTTACGAAAGTCCAGGCATACACTCAGAGAAGGAGAAAGTATTTCTATCGAGAAATAAAATGTCACGGAGTGATAGAGAACAATAGAAGATATTATTTTTCTTCTTTAATGCTTTTTGCTGTAGAAATGTAGTCTACTACTGCGAGATATATACATGAAAAGTTTTGTTTCGAAAGAGATATATTTATTGTTT